TGGGAAGGGATGGGAAGGGTAAACAAAGGAGGAGGCTGCAATGCTTGGTAAGAAATGTACGCATTATCCTGCCCATGCAATTGTAACCCCTCTGTACAGTTTGTTCACAAATAAAATAAAATAAAATTAAAAAAAAAAAGAAAATAGTTCTAAAATTTGAAACTTTTTCATGAAAAAGTAGTTTAGGATAATCAATTAAGGTAACTATCTAGTGATGGAAATGAAGGATACAGACTCAGCGGGAACTGAACATCATAAATATTCTACACAAACACTGAATTGCCGAGAAACAGCAGTTCTGTCTAAAAGAAACCTAATGCAAGTAACAGGAGCCGCTTAATTTTTTACCGACAGTATATTCCAAATTGTAAACAACAATCTTAATATATTCTCCCTTAATCTCATTTGTCAGAAAAGTTATCATTTCCACATGTATTGATACAAAATTGATACAAAAATATTGGCAAGAGTTTACTATTTTCCCTCCACTCTTTGCCTTCAAAGCACACGGAACTGCTGCTGCGCTCCAACATCGCACTTGGTTGTTTGTGGTCTGATTGTAGTGGACTGTAGATGCAGAAGACAGGAGAGCTGGCTGCATGACTTTGGTTGGTCTTAAATACATTCTTTTCTCAGTTTGAAAAGTTCTCCCTTTTCCCCTTTACATTCTACTTTATCCTTTGTTCCTAAACATTTTGGTAAACTGAAAATGTACTCAATGAAAGCCTGTTGGACAACCTGAGACCATGGGTGGGATTGGGAAGGATGTGGGGAAAGAAAGATGGAAGGGATGACATTATGAAGCATGTTGCTAGCCGGGACCCGGTGGCTCACGCCTGTAATCCTAGCTCCTCATGGGGCTGAGATCTGAGAATCGCGGTTCAAAGCCAGCATGGGCAGGAAAGTCCATGAGACTCTTATCTCCAATTAACCACCAGAAAACCAGAGGTGGCACTGTGGCTCAACCGGTAGAACGTTAGCCTTGAGCTGAAGAGCTGAGAGATAGTGCTCAGGCCCAGAGTTCAAGCCTCACAACCGACCCCCACCCTCACCCCAAACACACACAAAAAAGCTTGTTGCTGTCAAAATGAAACCCATGCGACACTTACTGAGGTTCTCAACTGACTGCTTCCCTTTTAAGCAACGTCAGCTGGAAGACAGCTTAGATCATAATTTACAATTAGGCTGCCCAAGCCCACTTTCTTTGTAGGGACTCGCAAGGTCTTTTCTCCCAGGCTTCAAGGCCCCCACGAGGTGCTTGGTGCTCTGACCCCCGGGTGCTGCCCAGCACTCGGCCGGGGAGGAAGACCCACCCTTCAATGGGGCCAGGCCCGCTCCACCCTGGGTTCCAAGCAAACTGCTGAGCTGTGTGGATGGAGGATGCGCTTTCACCCCCTGATTTATCGCCTGCCCTGGCCATCAATCTTCTAAACCAGGAAACAGTTTTACTTGTAAAGGGCAAGCATTGCTGGCCGCTCTTGGCTGTTCGGAACTCCAAGCGCTTCTATATGTTTGCCTTCCGAAAGAGTCTGACATCCCATCTTGCCAGGGGATGGAATGTTCCGACAAGTAAATGCCAGCTAACCTGTCGGGAGCCATAGGTTCCTGAACACTGGAATCTTTCTGTGGTCTTTTAGATCAGACTAAAACGAGTCATTTCACACACACATGAAGCATGTTGCACCATAATCTGACATATCGAACTGAAACCCCTCTGTACAACGACTTTAATAACAACCACCACCATAACAATAACAGTAACAGTAAGGGCCTGCCGGGGGACCAGGCAGATCCCGGCGGGCGGGCGCTCTCGGGATGGAGGGCGTCGGCGCTCCGGGCCCCGGCCTCGCACTCTCGGGGCTGCGCGCGGACCTGGCGCTGCTTTCCAGTCCCGGGGGCGGCGGGAGGCAGACGGCGCTCAAACCTCTGGGCTGGGCCCGGCTCGCAGGCCGCCTATGACATCACCGCTCCGTGCCTCGGCGGCTCAACTCCAGAAAGAGCCCGGCCTGCCAGACCCCTTGGGTTAAATATGCTCAGTGTCAAAACCGCCGAGGGCGTGGAGCGGGCGGAAAGATGCTGGGACTGAAGGAGACAGAGGCGAGAGCTGGGCTCTCATCCTTTCCCAGAAGCGTTAGCGGGGTCTTCCGGTTGGACCCTCGTCTCTGCTGATTGGCTGGAGGCTTCTACCACGTGATGCGGACTCCGGACGGCCTGGGCTTTTCCCGCCCTTACATTCCCCTCCCTGATCCTAGGTGGGCGGGGGAGGGGGAAACGCGCGCGCCTGCGTTTCCTAGGCAACAGGGGAGGGCTGTCCGTACACATCAGACCAGGGACGGGAGAGGGCGCCGAGTCTGCTGCTGCTGCAAGAAAGAGACTGCTAGCCTGGAGTGCACTCTGACTTGTCTCGGATTGCCCCAGAATCCATCTTCTCTCAGGGATAAGGTGAGTAGCCATCACCTGGCGGACTTGAGGACCATTAGGACCTTCAGTACCTTTAGGCAGGTCTCCCGGGAGTCTTTGCTACACCTGAAGAAAGGCGCAAACCAACAATGTTGAGATCTTGGGACCCCCCCCTAACAGTGCAGTGACCATGATACTAATGGTAGTAATGGCTTTAGATAAGGCCGTCGGGTGAACCAGCCACATTTAAGAAGAAGAAGAAAGGAGGCGTGGCCCACCACACGAGCTTAGGTAATGGACTGGGAGAACCAAATGTTAGTGGGCCCACCTGTTACTGTTCATCTAGATCTGGAAGGGCCTTTATTGGAACTGGTAATGATAACTGGATTCTGATCTCTTCATAACCAAAAGAGGAAAGAATTCAGCCAAATAGGGCTTCTACTTTGCAGAAAGGAAATGTGGTTTTCCCAGAATGAATCCTTTATCTAATTTTATGAACAGAAACATGGTTCTTTATAGTCTGATTATAATGCTCCGAATGGTTATGTAGAACAATTTTATTTTAAAGTCATTTAAAACCCTCATTGAACACATATTATGTGCCAGGCATTGTGAAAGAGTCATAGTTTCTGTCCTTAATGAACATGTAACCTGATAGAGAGGGAAGGTCCAAAAACATCATAATACAGTATGACAGGGCATGTATGTGCTAACCTAAATCAGGGTCTTAAATGGACACTGCTTATAGTATGACCAAAGAGTCTTAAAGTCTTCAGACAAGACTCCATTTAAATCATGTGTGTATGTGTGCTTCCTGGGGTTTGAACTCAGAGCCTCATACTCTTGGTTGGCTTTTTGGCCACTTGAGCCATGCCTCCATTTCTAGCTTTTGGCTGCTTAATAGGATATGAGTCTCTTGAATTTGTCTGCTAAAGATGGCTTTAAACCACCGTTGAGTAGCTAGGATTATACTCAGCATAACACTCTGCAGCCCAGAACTCCTAGACTCCAGTGATCTTCCAGGCTCAGCCTCCCAAGTAGCTAGGATTACAAAAGTGCATGCCTCATGCCTGGCCTATTACTTATTTTAGGAAAAACTCAATACTGTAAAAGTGGACATCCTATTATATTCATTTTTATAATGCAATTGTAATCAATCCCACCTGAATTTTTAAAAACAATACAAAATGAAATGAATATGGAAAGAATATCTGTGAGATGGGAATTTACATTGCAAATATCAGTACTAAAACGGAATGATACAGGTATAGGATTAAAGAGAATTAAAAGTACAATTTAGAAAGTCCAAAATTAGGCCCGTGTGTGTGTGTGTGTGTGTGTGTGTGTGTGTGTGTGTGTGTGTGTG